TAAGTTGCACATTTAATAGACAAGGAAACTGCGCTATTGTCAATAGTCTTAAACAAAAATAACCAGCACTCGCATCCATCCTACCCTGAATCTGTTGCAAATTGATTTTTCACTTTCCCTTAAAAGGTTTCCCAAAACTGTTTGGATTTCCTCTAATTATGGTAACTTTATTTATTTATATCAAATGATGGTTATCATTAGCCCCTTAGTTGACTTCAGGCTTCACAGAGGGGAAGGAACATCAAATTGAAAAAAGTCGAGAAGGGGGGGGGAACNNNNATGTAGGAGACAAACACAAAGGTAGAACAAAGGTTAGGTGAGTACTGTGAAATAGTCGAATGTGGCATAGAAGGAGGCGATGGTAGTTTGAAGTGAGAAGTCAACTGCCAGTCAATAGACTTTTTTTGCCGTATGAATTTATGTTGCCCAGGGTGCACCAAGTGGAGGTAACTCTATCGCACACCCCATTATGATAACTAAGTGTAGCTCATTAATTCCCGTAACCCCCCCCCCCCCCCCNCCATCCATGTAAGTCTGCGCACATGGTTGTTAGTTTAGCCTTTCTTAAACAGTCCACAACAGATCAGAATGCACACTTGTTAAATCAAGCTCGTGATGTTGATGCTCGTTGGCTCACATCCAACAAACTGGTTTTCCAGTCACACTGGTTAATCCTGTGTGGAAAATGACGGTAGAGTATCGTCTTCTAATAAAGGAGGCCTGGAATTCCTGCTCTTTACCTAAGTCGGGTATTGATGGCACTCTAAAAGGGCTTTGTAAGTTTTGCTGCCAATACTGTCAAAGCCAATTTTAAAATTAAAGACTAGCTCGAATTTGCTTTACAACTCAAGGAGGTTTTATGAAACTTGTGGCCTATCCACGCTACTTGACTTTGAGCTTGATATTCCTTGAACTCTGTTTTGTAGGCTCTTGAATGTCTTCGTAAACATCACCGTCGTCTAGAGTACTTATGCCGAGAGGCTATTTTTAGCCTGGATCAACTAATAATGGTAAACAGTCAATCAGATTTCAAGCTGATGGATGCTTGTGCTGAAATGATCCAGAGTCATTGTCAAGGTGCCTCCCTAACATCCAGTCACACTCTCCTCAACTGTCTCAGCATGGCTATTAAGAGAGCAGGTGACAACTTTGACCCCAATTGTCAAGAGGTTGTTCGAAATCGATTGGCTATCCAACAATTGGATAGTCGTCTTAATCCCCGCCTCGCTGAGAATTGTCGGTGCGTTGAGACTCTATTTTACCTTTAAATAGTCTTTCTACTGAAATACAATAAGTAGATCTTTTAGAGCTGATATAATGAACAAATGTAAATTAGAACTCCGTGAAGACAGGAATACGCCTTTTGAGACTAGCAACAGAGTAATTCAATGCTTGAAGACCCATTATACTGCCTCCAAAACCAGCAATTACAATGAACTCCGTTTAACTGATTCCTGCTCAACATATCTACGTGGGGTAAGCCCTCTTCCACTGACATTTATTCCTGTTCAGATTAACTCAATTTATTCTGATCGTGCCTAAAGATACAACACTAGTATGACCTATAGCTTTGTGAGTGAGGTAGATGGAAAGTTCGATCAGTTGCTGACTCTGTTTTTTTTGTCCTTTTTCCAGCTTTTGGCATCAATCAATCTTGATATCAAGATGGATCCCTTGTTGGTTGAAGTCTGCCACTATGACTTGGTGGCACATTGCTCAGAAGAATTAGCATTTTCTGGCAATTTCATGAGTGCTGACGGAGCTGCATTGGAGTGCCTTCGCAAACAGATTTCCCTCAACAAAATGAAAAATGATTCCTGTATCTTAGAGGTCCTACGACTTACAATTGCAAGTGAAACTGATATTGACGCGGACCCTGTTCTGGCTCGAAACTGTATCGGAGCTTTGGAAGCCGTCTGTACGGTGGTAGGTTTCAGTAAGATACCTAATCCTATAGCAACGGGCCTCTCCTAACTACTTTTGATATCTACTGTCTACTGTCTACTTCTAAGTTTTACGCTTACTGACCAATAGTTTTTTTTCTTATGAACCAGGCTGGATATGCCAAGACGTATTCGTGCTGTTGATCCAACAGTATTTCCAAATCAGTTGGATTGAGTAAAGCGCAAAGGTCAGCATAGCGTAAGTGGAAATAAGTTTGAAAAAGAGGCTAAATTACGATACCTTACGCCACGAAGTATATTATTGGTGAGAAACTGCTTGCAGATAAAGTCGGCAACTTCATACATTGCGCCAAGGCTGTCACTCCATATCATCTTTTTACCTTCATTCATTTTTTTATCAACAAGCATCTTTCTCGCTTTCTCTCATTGCAGACCGGTAGGAGGGGTGGTCGTATATTGGACTGCTTACTAGACACTTTGGACTCAAACAACTACCCTCTAGACCCCCTTTGCAAAGAAAGTCTTGAACTTCGAAGACAACTCCAGCAAATGGCGTCCAAGAGACTAGACTGGTATTTCCTCGTCAGAGAAGTCCGACAAATCTACTCCCTGGAGTTGGTCGTTGCAATAGTCCTTTTCTTCATAGCAAGCATCTTAATTATCTGTCTCTGTTGTGCTCGATGCACCAAACGCACTGTTCACGCGAAGGATCGATAAAGTCAAATGCATTAAATGTGTATTAATACTTTGCTAATAAATTACAAACAATTGAACAACAATGTCAACGTCTAATTCTTTTTCGAGCAGAAGATGAGGAACTACTACTGGGAAATCGACTGCAGGAACACAGAGGACAAATCCATTTCCCCTTAGGAGCTACAGATAGATTGACACAAGGGTAATGAAACCATTCTACTGGGCAATTGGGAGCATCACAAGCGATCATTTCTCCATAGCTAACATCTCGACAGAAACAGTACTTCCGATTATCAGGATCGCTGGAAGCTCCACCACCAAGATCTTGATTGTCTTGTTGTTGTTGTTGTTGCTGTTGTTGTTGTAGAAGTCTGGAAGGTGATTGAGAAATGTTGGCATAGTGATATGAGTTGATATCATCAGCAGTCATATCAGGAACACTGATTTGACTAGGACGTCGGGAATGTTGTGCGGCAGCACGTCGGGATTTGTTGGTGTTAGCGTTGTCGGGAGTACCACTACTTATCCAACGCGGACTCTCTCCCGTTTTCACAATCGGAGAGGGTGTGGAAGTATTGACCAGCATTTCATCGATTGACGAAGGTTGAAACTCTGCGATTATTTGACCACCTGTGTTGACACCGCCACCAAGGTTTTCTGTATCAGAATTGCTCACAAACGGAGAGTGACCTCCACGATGTAACCTTGAGAAAATACAAAGGAGAATATGAAATCACCTTTAGGACTAGATCATACATACCATAATAGGGCTTTCAGCAACATAATTTAATGATTAGGTGAACTCAGTAAGTTAATCCGAAGTCATTATCTGGCACATTAGCGTTAAGAGTGCATGGTAATATCAGATTAAGGCTTAGGACTACGCAGGTGTGCGGAGAGCTTGCTAGGCATTCCAATGTAAAATATTGTGGCAATGCTTCAAGGAAGGAGAGAGAGAGTTCAAAATGTAGCAAATTTTCCCTGGACTTCTTAGGCTAAGTCATAGCTTGGGTAAATAAATCAAGACGCAGAGAAGGCGATCTGCATTGCTTAGAGCAGTCATCAAGGTCGAGTCCCGACTCCCAAAATGTGCAATAAAAGATCCAAATTGTATGCAAGTGTTTGAAAAAAGAAGCAGCATCAATAGGAATCCACTATCCCACAAATAGAACGATCAGTAGTTACTTCCAGTGTCAAACTACGGATAAAAAGTAAATCTTATGCGAGACGTCTATTGTAATGTTTACATAAATCGACTTAATCCGGAGATGTGAAGCTAAACTCTTATGGATTCCCTACAAGAGCGATGAAATTCAAGGTTCTGGTAACTATAAATACATTTGTGGTGAAGAATGAGTTCCTTTTGAAATAAAAAAGACAAACAATAACGCTCTTCAATCGGATAATAAAAAGTTTTAGGAAATAAGGAAAGTCAGTCGGTATGCCTTCCTGAAAAACGAGCAGATTTACACATTCCTGAGCTCTAAACAAGTCATATTAGAAAAGTGCTCATAGGAAACAAAAAATACCGTTAAAGAATCTCGGAAAAATTCATTTTTCGGCATTAGCAAGCCCTAGAAGTAAATAAGGAGGATTCGCACATGCACTGAGCTTTAGATCAAATTCTACAAAATCCCGAGGGACTATTCAGTTGACCAAGAGAACGACGGACAGTCTCAATATTAGGCCAACTGCTAGAAGAAGCTCATAGACGGGGTGGTGCGTTCAAATGATCAATAGTATACAACCCTCGGACGATGTGCACTTAACCAGAAAATTATAGGCTAGATTCTGGCGTTTGGAATAAACAGAATAAGTAAAAAACGGGACGGCCTAATCAATCTGTTAGTGCTTTGACTTCCACTCCAGTCCTCTTCATGCCTTATCAGAGTTAAGAGCAAATTGAATGAATATGAATGAAGGCATTGATAAGCCAAGTGACATTAAACATAGATTCGCGAATTCAGATGCAGGACACTGACGATTCTCTGGACTTCAATTTAGCTGGTGTAGAATTCACTACCTTCGTGTTCTCTCCTGATTAAAATTCAAAGTAAAATACTATCCATGAAGAGCCTCAAGAGCGTTGAAATTAGGACCATTGGCTATCTTTGTACCGTTTTCAAGCGAAGTAGATTTTAAGTGCTGCAGAGAACATAAAAATGTGAAGAGTAAATTTGAGCTACGAAATATGCATACTGCGTAAATAAATTAAACAGTATAAATAACAGCAAAGTTATAAATGGGAATTTAGCAAGCTCCGTGCAAACACACCTAGAATTATCCGCAGAGGGAATTTGAGGAGTTCCAATAAAGCGCGACCGCCTCGGAAGTGCATCAACTACGAAAAATAAACAGAAAATCAATAGATACCAAAACTAGAACAAATAGAAGATTAAAATTGAACGCAGCTTACACTGAATCGGATCATCTTCTTCATCTTCAGCAAGGAACTCATCACCAATTTCAGAGGTGAAGGGACCGAATTCGCTATCTTGCAAATTTGGATCTATAGAATTAATGCTATCAGCACCAGAAATCTGTTGAAGATTATCAGATGAAGGAATAAGTCTATTTGGACCATCGGATATTATGGAAAGCGATGATTCCTCAGAAGCAAATGAACTGGTCTTTGGGTGACGTATAGCAGCTCGACCACTACTAGTTAGACCGCTAAGGGGATACATACGCTTTTTATGAACAAAGTAGCGTTTGTCCTGATCAGAAGCAAACGGATTTCTCCGATAAGTATTACGATTCACACCATAGAAACGAGCCGCATGCTTCTGAGCAGGATCCTTAATATTAAGGTATGTCCTTACGCCTATGTAAATAATAATAATCAAACACAAAAATCAATCCTACGATGCTCAATTTTTGTTGCAATACCAACATTATCAGCCTCCAACTCCAACCGAAATTTGTTCAATTCTGAAGTGATTTTTTTGTGAACCTTTTCATACTATACATGCACATAAAAATTATATTTAAAAATAAACCGTTTCCCTAATCCTGTCGGATATTTCAATTTTTATCTTG